AGTGGGAGTACGATGAGGAAGAGCCGGGCGATTGGGTAGTGCTGTGATCACCTTCATCAATATACCTGGACCCGAATCATCGTCAACTAGGTCCGTGCCAAAAACTGCAATGCACAAGGCTATAATCGGCAGAAGTGCAGTAACCAATAATGTGCAAGATCTCCACATCCACATTTCAATGGTGGAGGCAAAGTCCGCATTCCATGCGACACAGTTGCGAGTACTTATGTAATAAGGATTGTCCCTTTCATTTCTCGGAGGGAGCCAAAAATATGGAAAAACAAATTTATTTGAGAGCGATTTTGTTGAGGGACTTTTTAGTGGCTGTGTCTAATGGATTTAGACGCTGCCTTAGATGTCTCACTCTATTGAATTTAGTGGCTATGTATTTGCATTTATTGTCGTACTCGGGGGAAAAAAAGGAGTTACTCGGTGAAAAATCATATCATGTGCAAACACCATATGGAATGAAAAAGTTTTTTTGACAACAATTTGATCCGGCGAAATCTTTCGACTTTCCGCATAGCTTTCCTGCAATATATTTCTCGCTCGTCCGCTGGAGTCTACTGATTGTTATTTCAACTTCGTTAACACTGATTTGACCGCTGTCCATCGTCTTATTGATATGCGCGAGGTACTGCTAGGCCAGGACAAATGCACTCACAAGGGCGGTGGAGAGCCTTAGCTTGGCCTTAGCGTCTATTTTAGTATATACATGTGATTGATCTTGCATCTAATCTTACCTTAATTAATTCGGTTCGCCGATCTGCCTACAGCTCACTGCGTATGCCGCCTCACATCTCTATCCGGTGGACTTTAATCTCAGAGGCCGAAAATCGCACTCTCTTTATTACTCTACGTTCCTATAAATGCTCAAATCTGGTCCCACCGTGCCCCTATATGTGCATTTATAAGCTTGGCGTCCTGCAAACACCCTCCTCTCCTTCCTGACACTATGAGAATCATTGTTCAGGCATTCAACACTAGACTTATAACTAAAGGAATAACTGGCTTTTTATGCCAAGAGTTTAGAGAACTTGAACTCTTGAACAAAATTCACTTCTTAATACTGTCTCAGGTGTAACTCATTCAGAGCTTCTGCGCTCTTACCAAGAGTATCAGGGATCGGCTTATGATCCTGAAAACTTATCCCTCCTTGAGTTGCCTTTTCGGCTTATCATCTCCCCAACTAAACCCCAGGGTACTATACTTCACTTCGCAGTTCCTCAGTGCTCGGATGTACTCCACTGCTAATTATATATGCCCCGTTTGCTCCTAATTTACACAAGCACACTGCAGTTTCGAATGCCCCGCCTTTCCTGTACTTTTCAATGTGAGACAAAAAAATTGTGTACAACTCCTTTCGTTTGCCTGTTGGAGATGTAGGTCATAGGTATGCCATTCAAGGGGTGATTTATTTGACTGACCATCACTTTACTTCTCGTCTGGTAAAATCCAATGGTGCCGTATGGTACCATGATGGTATACTTACTGGTTTGTTTTGCGAGGCGGATGGACCGGTCCACACGCTGCTTCAGAATTTTTTGAATACCTGCAATAACGATGGAGAAATCGGCGAAGTGGTTGGCGGACTTTACACTTGAATTAATTGAGACGTTGCTACCTCTCCGCGGCGGGATCATTCATAGAACTTCCTCTTTGGCAGTGTTATCTGCTTGATTGCATATAAATGTGAAAGTCCTGACCTAAAGCCGTGCAAAAATGATAAATAAATAAGTACTCGTACCTGCCGGGCGCAGCCACGGCCCTTTACCCCAAGTAGGGTGTTTCATATATGGGTTTTCGGACGCAACTCGGGGTGCAACTTGATGCACAACTTCGTTCGAAGTTGCATCCGAAGTTGGGTCCGAAATCGAAGTTGCATGTCAAATCATGGTGCGGACTATGATTTGATATGCAACGTCGTGCGCAACTTCATACCCCAACTTCTGCCATCTGATTTCCCTCAACCGTTGCTCTTGCCGGCGACTCCCGGAGAAAAAGTGTCACTCAATTTGGCGTCAAGTTGGGCTCGGAGTTGGGCCTCAAGTTGCGTCCGAAAAACCATGTCTGAAACACCCTAGTGGATGGCACTATGGATGGTGCCGACGAGGCATTGAATGAGGAAAGCAAAAAGGGGTTTGTCTTGGTCACTCGAGGCAGAAGACCAAAATGAGGGCATGGGGGTGTTCATTGCCAGATTGTAAGCCCCATCAGAGGTACCTATAACACCGCCAAGTTTTTTCCCGATACGTGCCCAGCCATCTTCCTCTGAGTGTGGTGATCTGACCCCAAGAGGACTCATTGGATGTTGCTCATTAGACGTCTTGCGCTGCAGCCATCAGAGCCATCTGATGGCTTTTTTGCGTTGCGCAAATGGATGGCTGGTGGCTGCAAGCAAAATTTTCACAGGTAGCCAAAGTGCACAGTAAGAACGCCAAGAGGCCCTGGGCACTCTTCAAAGTCTTTTTGGTCACATCAGACCTGGTGTCTTGTTCATTTTGTGGATAAAAAATATACAATGAGAAAAACATTATAAAATTGAGTGATAGACCCATCGGTGAGTCTTTATCCACATGCACATGAGGACTGGGTCCAGTCATCTCCCATCAGGGTAGATAAAAGAAAGTTGTTATCAAAAGTGGCTCAAGCCATTAGCCATCCGTTTGCGCAATGCAAAAAAGCCATCAGATGGCTCTGATGGCTGCAGCGCAAAACGTCTATTGACGTGTATGACCCTTTGCAGTTTGTTCCACCACAGCAGCCAAATGAAGACATTTACGACGGTAAAGGCAAGGATGGTTACCTCGAGCTCAGAGACAGTAAGATTCTGAGCAAAACGTGCAAAACACTGTGTCATGAACCAGGCACCCTGGGCAAATGCTACACCTTCGGACAGTGCATCGCCTTTGCTCTTGTCCTTTATATCCTATTTATCTTGGGCTCACTGTGGGCAGACTGGTGGCTATACATGCCACCCGGCTTTCTCCAGAGTGTATAGCCACCAGTCTGCCCACAGAACTGAGCCCAAGATAAATAGGGCGGTGAGAGCTGGCACCAGAACCGTTGGCGGAGGAATGTATCTTCGCACACGGCGGTGTATTATTGCGGTCTGCTTGCGTGACACATCGTTCCATGTCTCGTTGTTCTTGTTCAAAACCTCTTCAACGCGGGCGCGGTCATTTCTGTCGTAGACAAATGTAGATAACTTCAATGCCGCAGCAAATGGTTTGAATGCGGAGTGGTCATGCGGAAAAATTCGCAGTAGCCAGTCTTTGACATGCCATATGTCCTCGAGCATTTGAAATGCAGGAGTGGAAGGGGTGGGATTTTTTAGCTGTACCAAAGGATCGGAAACGATGTCATCAAGTGTCGATATGTCGAAGTCGGCCATTGCAGACTCTATTTCATCGCCATCCATAAAGCTAAACTCATTGTCATCGACTCGTGAAGGTCCTAGCTCAGGCGGAGGCTCGTCTTCGTAGGCATTGCTGTCGATGTCACCGTCAGAGTCCGAATCATCGTCCAGTGCTCCAGATTCCTGGCTGGTAGAGTTCCCATCACAATGTGCCGAAATCTGGGAGGGGGAGCTTGTGAACTGCGGGTTTGTAACCAGGAATCAGGATTTCATCAACTTCAATGAGGCAGTCAGCCTGATTTCCTTATTCCTTGTCCCATGTTGGAGCGAAATGAGGGATCCCAATTCTGGTTGGATGAGAATTCTGCTCTGAGGAACAATTTTCAAGGCTCCACCCCGCACATCCAGTCGACAAAGACCGCTTTGCAGTAGCCCACCGACAGTGTTGAGCCGCAATAACAGAGTTTATCATCGAAGGTTGAGAGTGGTTCTGGAGAGACAATCGGAAGTGGTGAGCTCCGAAGAGATGACAAATATATGAGTTCGTGTTGTGCGAGGTCCTGAATATAATGAACAGCTTACTACTCCACGGATTCTTGATCAAATCACTCTGTCCCAAAAAAAAAAAAACTGATCGGAATCTCGCTCCTGATTTTGCTGCACATCCTCCAGCAGGCTTTTCTGGTGTCTAAGCATCTGCCAGCAAGCATTGTTGTCAACCCAGAGTATATGAGGATAATGATGCTCAGCGGATTCTTGACCAAATCACTCAAACCAAAAGTGAAAACTGACCGGAATCACTCTCTTGATTTTACTGCACATCTGTCCGCAAGCATTGATGGCAACCAGAATATAGGGCCATATATGAATATAATGAACAGGCAACTACTGCACAGATTCCGGAACAAATCACTCAGACCAAAAGTGGAAACTGATCAGAATCACTGTCCTGATTTTTCTAAACAGCCACCTGAAACATTTTCTGGTGTCTGACTCACTACCTCTGGTGCTGCAAAGGGCCTGAATATAATGGATGGCCCACCACCCAGCGGATTCTTGACAAAACCACTCAGACCAAAAGGGAAAACTCACCGGAATTACCCTCCCGATTTTGCTGCACATCCACCAGCAAGCTTTTCCCTGACTTATCCCTGTGCCAGCAAGCATTGATGAGGTGCATTGCAGATCAAGCCCTCACAAATATAAAGAATGCTCCAGCACTGCATGGATTCTTGACCAAATCACTGAGACAAAAGGTGGTATCCCGCCGGAATCACCTTCCGGATTTTTCTGCATGGCTGCCAGCAAGCTTTTCCGATGTATAACACCCTGCCAGCAAGGAAAGGTGGGATTTCGGACCGTTTCGGCCGTAGCGACGCCAATACAAGGTCAAACATCTTGAGGGATCAATCAATATTGTTCCCCTGATTTTTCTGGACCCCCCCATATGAGTGCCAGCAAGCATTTCGAGAACTTTCCCAATTGGGAGTCATTGGCCCCATCCAATGACTGGAACATTTCTATAGCGTGCTCAGGCTACCTCCTACTGTGAGGACACAAAAGGGGCGAAACATGTGCAAATACGACCGGCCCAGCTTGCTCTCAACTTTCATGTTCTCTGGTTCAAAGGAACGCAAGTAACTCAGACGTGGTGCATGGTACCGGTGCACGTCAAATTCGCATTGAGGATTCTCGCACATCTGAAAAAGCTGAAGACCAGGGTTCGACTCCCTGCATCTGAATGAGGTCATTGAGCATTTTTTTTGGGTCATGACCTTGCTCAAATGTTCCCAGTTCCCCGGGCTCCAAATGGAGGGAATTATCTCGGATGTAGTGCATGGTGCACATCAGTTCTTTATCATCGTTTTCTATGTGAAGGCTGAAACCTGGGGTTCGATTCCCTGCATCCGAATATTACATTCGTAGGCATCCTTTTTTTGCCACACTCGTGTTGAAGTCTTGCCCACTTACCCAGTAGGGAAAAACTCGGATGTGGTGCACGGCGCACATCAGCTTCCAGTGAAAAATATAGTCTGCCATTGACACTGAAAATCGAGGCTCAACCATATACGTATCAGTTCTTTTTCCTTTTTTTTTTTTTAGAAAAACGATTCTGATCATTTGCTCTCACTATGCAGGTTCAACCTGCATCAAATAGGCTTCTCCGCTGCTTTTCTTTCGTGTTGTCCTACTGTTCTAGGCTAGATTGAGGGTAAGTAAATTATATTTGGAAGCAGTGCAGGGACTACAGCTCAGTGGGTAACGATAGAATAGTCCTTCGAAATATCTGAGCATGTTTGAGAGTGCCATTGAGGCGACAAAATTAGTCGGTCGTAATATTCTTGCGGGAAACACAACACAGACATTAAAAAATATTATTTCCGCCCACCCTTTCATACGATGCGTCGGGGACGCGTAACGGACGCGTCATGACGCGTAGTAGACAAGTATGGACGCGTGGTCGATGTGTCGCAGGCTTAAATCAAGCAGTCTGATTCACTCAGAGGTACAGATACTCGCAATGTCTTGATCCGAGCTATTCGGCGGAAGGATCAGACCCAATTGAGTTATTAAGAAATGTTGCGTCTGTTGAAATCTGTTCGGGGGGCCAGTACCCCTTGCACAAATTTCTACAGATTCAGATAGATTCGCATTAAATCGCGTATATTAAAAGTGATGGGGTCTTGACAGTTGCCTCGCGGCAAAAATAATCACCACGAATCTTTTATCGTTCACCCAGTATATTATTATTGAACGATGGGAATCAATCACTCTTGCAGCCGCTAGCAGAGAAAACACAACTACGGAGTTTTTTGAAATTCTGGGCTTCCTGCGCTTCGTGTCAAAGGTCTTCTAATGCCCCTGCCTACTGCAATTTCTCCTCGGCTTAAGAAATTGGGAGACTAGGCGGTATTAATCGTTCGGGTCCTTTTTCTTTATCCACTCACATTTATCGTCTGCCTGTACTTTGGGTGTTTCGGCATCAAGGTTCCTGCGGGGTCCACTGAGCAAAGTCTTCCCACCATACCGAGGGAAATAATAGTAAAGTTTTTCAGTAAAATCACATACTAAGAAGGTTGTAGAATCTTTTGACACATTTCCTGCAAAAAAGTATGTGAAAAATAAAGCAAGATTTTCGTAAATACTTTGACCGAGAAACTTGAATTGTTCAGTCGAACCCCGGCTTTCAGTTTCCAATTCAAGACGACACAAGGCATCAGGAGGGGCTGACGTGGACCGCGCACTACAACTCAGTTCTTCTGTGCCAGTTGAGCCTGATTAAGTGGGCGACATTTTCAACGCCCCCAAAAAATCAAAAAAGGCGATTTCACATCAAATATTTGGATGCGGGGAGTCGAACCCCGGTCTTCGGCTTGCATCCTCACCATTTGATTAAGAGAAGCTGATGTGCACCGTGCACCACATCCGAGTTCTTTCCCTGCATTTGCAGTTGGTTAAGTTGCGGCATTTTCCGGGCTCAGGAGAGAAGAAAAAAGATGGACTCTGCGCCGAGTATTCGGACACGGGGTTTCAACTTGAAGAGAGGTTGAAATCACTGGAAACTGTTGTGCACCGTGAACCACATCCGAGATAATACCCCTCATTTGAACCTGCATAGGTGGGAGATATTTTAACACAAAAAGGCGTGGGTAGCCATTTCGTTCGGATGTGGGGAGTCAAACCCCGAACTTCAGCATTAGTTGCTACACACACGACTCAGCGGGAGCTAATGTGCGCCGTGCACCACATCCGAGTTACACCCCTTCATTTGGAGTTGAGTAAGTGGGAGATATTCGGCCGCTTGGAATTTCGGCAACACATATCTGAAGTTGAAAGATATTGTACACTTGCTCATATGATTGCTCATTTTAATGTAGTTAAAAACTAAGTACGAGTTTTTGCCGGGCACCGCCACGGCCCACAACCCCAAGTTGTAACTGAATAAACCGAATGCAGCAGCACGGGGTTCGACTCCCCGCGTCCGAGTTCCCTTTCTTCCTATCATTTCGATCTTAGGGAGATAATAGGCAACGCACCAGGCCGGGGCCCGGGGCACAAAGTACCGATTCGTTGGCCAGTGCGCAGAGGTGAAACAGGGACGGGACGCAACGGCCCCCGTCCAGGCGTGGGCGCCGCATAAGTATGGTCATATATTGCACGCACGAAACATCTTCTCCTTTCCAAGAGACACACAAGCACAAGCACATACGACTCCGAATTGTTACATAAAACAGCAGTATTGCAGCGGGATATCAATTGCGGCTCCTCCTTCTCAATCCCAAATACACAGCTCAACGTCAGCCGCTAGAGCTGGAAGCACGTGCCTGGCATGAACTTCATGGACACGATCATGTTGACACTCGCGATCGTGGTCTTCCCGCCCTGTCCACGCCGTGAGCCATAGATTTACGCAGCCCAAACACGGAAAACGAGAAAGAGAAAGAGAATATACTCACAAAGTCACAGAAGTTGGGGGACGTAAACAGATTGGTCAGGCCCGCTTTGCAGTTCGCGTTGTCGGGTATAGTGCCGACGGTATCGGGAGACTTGGTGTTCACGACGTTGAAGTGGCCTGCCCGTGTGATGATAGAGTTGACGAATCAACAACATGAAAATGAAAATGCGAACGCACAGCTGCGGTTGATCCCGTCGTTGGAGTTAAAGCAGCGCGAGGCCATGTCCCGCGATAGGAGTGCCTGGAATGAAATAAAACAAGAAAAAAGCTCAGAATCCCTATCGCAAGCCATCGCAAGAAACACCTGTATGAACACTGACGTCGGGTAAGAAGACAGATTGCGCCTCGGCGTCACAGAATGCGTTAATGAAGCGTGTGCAATTGCCGCTTCCGGAGGCATCGTTGGGGTTACTGGGAGGCGAGAAGCAGGTTGAGACGAGTTGGCCCGCGCACGATGTTGTCATGACCGACACGGCCACAAGGCGGAGAAACTAGAGTAGACTAAGCGGTGAGCGAGAAATACCGAGAATTTCTCGCTACTCACGGCGCTAGATTTGAAGAGCATTGTGGAGATGAAAGCTGAGGTTCGCAGCGTTGGCTTGGCTTATAACTATTGCGGAACGGACCTGCGGTCCGAGGACGTCCTTGGTAAGTCCCGTAAACGTCGCATATACTCATGGGCGTGACAGCCTTTGACGTGGAGGTGAAAGGGTCGGAAGCTTCCTGATCCAAACCAGGAAGCTTTCGAAGGAGCACGAGCAACAAGACAATTCCTCATAGACTTGCTGTCGGTTATACATGAGCCCTTCAGCAAATCAGAAAGCGATGAAATGACAGACAGCTTGCACGTACTTATGACGAAGACAAAAAGAAACAGGAAATTAGATGGCTAACAGCCGCCCGCCTGACGCAGCGGTCTTGGAGCGCTCGTGGATGCAAGTAAAAAGGAGTGTTGCACAGCCATGCTGATCATCGCATATCATCCCCGGCCGATGTGTCGAAACTCGGCTTATTCGGCATTCGGCAATAATGCTGCAAAAAAATCGGATACATACTCTCAAACGAGACTGCCTCAACCCTTGGTTTCAACCCTACTCTTCTAGTTCCGGTAATTTTGCACCGAGATGAACCCGAACTAAGGTCCAGAAAGCTGGGCTAAAAGCAAGAGCTCAAACGCAGTTTCTCGCCAATGCAACTGTTTGGAGTCAGTTTCAGCATTATTGCGTGAGCTTTTCTTTCTTTATGTCACAGGCTCCTGTCAACTGAATCTCATATTACAAGTCAGTTTCAATCTAGGCTCTCCCAAATGGTGGACCTGCCGCCATGGTTTGGGGGGTATGTTTTCTGTTTCTGGGCCAAGCGAGGTCCTGACTGGCGGCACAGTGGGTAACGGCATCCTTCTTTCCCATTTTTTTGCTCTGGCTATGGCAGAGTTAGCGTCTGCAGCGGCGACTGCTGGAGGTCTGTACTATTGGACCTTTCGATTTGCATTTCCCAGGGGGACATTTGGGGGACATGGCCAATCACCGCGAGGATGCGAAACATGTGCAAATTCAGGTCCGGCTTGCTCTCAATGTTCTCTGCTTCAAATGAGTATAAGTAACTCGGATGTGGTGCATGGTGCACGTTAGCTTCGCATTTGGGATTCTCATTATCAGCAAGGCTGAAGACCAGGTTCGACTCCCTGCATCTGAATGAGGTGTATCTCAAGGTTGTTTTTGGGTCATGACCATGCTCAAATTTTACTAGTTTCCAGGCTCCAAATGGAGGCAAATATCTCGGATGTAGTGCATGCTGCACATCAGCTCTTTATCACCGTTTTCCGTCTGCGGGCTGAAACCCGGGGTTCGGCTCCCTGCATCCGAACATTGGAATCGTAGTCATCCATTTGTTGCCACACTCATGTTGAAATCTTGCCCACTTACTTAGTCTCAGAAGGCAGGGAATAACTTGGATGTGGTGCATGGCGCACATCAGCTTCCAGTGAAAATTTTAGTCTACCATTAACAGGGGTTCAGCCATATCTCAGTTCTTTTTTTTTAAAAAAAAACAACGATTCTGATCATTCGGTCTGACGGGCAAAAATACTTCGCCGCGTCAGGGTTGGCGCGGCGGTAATGCGGCGGTGGCGCAGCGGTACCCCGGCAGGTGACGCGGCGGTCGAAAATTAATGAGGGCCGATCATACGTTCTGGAGGGAGCAGCTACATCATATAAGTAGAAGATGCACTCATCAATTATAAGTTATGGGTGGCGAGGGAATGGGCCTTGGTGACTTCGTGTACACTGTGTTTGGTGTCACGCAAAGTAGCCTGAACACTGCAGTAGGGCGCTGTTTATAATTCGTCGGGCGTTTATAAACCGGTTTATAAACACCGGGTCCCAAACCGGCTAAAAACGAGTGATTCCACCTCTCCTGCTCACGTAAGGTCCCCAGCTGCTCTTCTACTATCCTCCGCACCGGCTGCTGCCCGCCCTGACCAGTCTGAAATACTTCCGATCTCGTTTGCGCGCGCGACCGGCTTATCCGAGTGCACATCACGGAAAAGGGGCATCGTGATGTCCACGCCGTCGCGTTGGAAGTCGATTGTCGTATCGTGCGGAAGAGGTTTTACCTGGATCCAGAAAAAACCCCTATAAATACATATCACCGCTTGGTCCATCTATCATTTCTTTATATTTAAAAACCGGTACTTTGGACCCGACGATATATAAACCGGTTTATAAACCGGTGTTTAAAACAATGTTTACAAACCGGATTAATAAACAGCGCCCTACACTGCAGTGACGCGGCGTGACGCGGTAGTGACGCGGCTTGGATGCGGCGGTCTGCGGCGGGACGCGGCGAAGTGCATGGTAATTTCGCCGTGTCCCACCAGTCAGACGCGGCGATACCGCCGCGTGACGCGGCGGAATGCGGCGGTCGCAGCAGCTGGACGCGGCGTGTCAAGCATATGACGCGGCGGTCCCTCTACTCGATGCGGCGCTCCCACACTGGGTGCGGCGCCTACCAAAATTCACGCGGTGGGCCCGCGGTGCCATTCGAACTCAGTGAAAGTCTGTTACTCCGCAGACACCACCCTGCACGATGTCCAAACTTGCAATGAACCACCTAAACCAGTTCAGTATGTTGGATATCGCCTGTGGCTAGCACTTCGAGTCTCAACGAGTCTATAACCAGGATAAGTCGGCACACAATGAGTCCTCCCTGTCAACATTACCATTGTCAAACGGCCGAAATTAGCTGAGCCTGAATGCGAGACATATCTGATGGTTGGCACTCATATTGGGACATATATATTTAATTTAAAGTGGTGTAGAACAACACGGCGAGCCTTGAAGTGCGCAGGGGCGCAGCGTCAATCTTTTGGCGCCGACCCTGCTGCCCACTCCTTATTAGTTGCATTCGTGTTCAACTCAAATCAAATTAAAAGAAATTCTCGTTCATCTTCACCCACCCTCGTTCACGATGTGATCAGAAACTGCACAGCCACACGTTAGAGCTAGAGTAGAGTGTGCGTAGGTGGGATTGACTCCCAGAATGACTTTCAAGAAAACCAGCCCTTAAGCACTGGGTAAAATTGACACATTTAAATCACCCAATAAAATAACTGAACCTCAAGCAATTGTCCAGATGCTCAATGTTTAATGTCGTCGTTCCCAGCAGAAATCCTCGGTCTCAACGCTGCGTTTCGCTTCCTCCTCGTCCAATACACAATTTTTTCGAAGCCCTAATATGCAAGATCAAATATTTATCAAATCCGGAACAAATTAATCAATCTACCCGATGAACGGCGCGACGCGGCGAAATATACAGTACCGCTGCATCACCCCTTCCGAATGCATCTACTGAAAGAGGCCAAGCGCAGAGAAAACCGAGTATATGACATTGAAGTATTGCCTGAAGTTCAATATTGGTCTGGCACAGGAAATAGTGCTAATAATCATTGTTCCATCAAAGTTGGCCGAAGATAG